TGCATGCCCGTATTCTAAGGTTTTCATTGGTGTTCGTCCATTGTTGGGAGAGGCAAAGTGTGCCATTGCGTCCGATATCGTGAGACGCTTTAGATGGACCACACGTCCCCGTCCGCCCGCGGCAGCGGTCCGGAGGCCAAGGGTCCAGGGCCCGCGGGAGGAGGGCCTGGGGGAGATGGGGTGGGAGCAGGAGTTGCGTCAGTGTTGCCGGACGACATTTCTTCTGCATCTTCAATGTCGGACGAGGAGGATGCGGGCGGATATAGACCGCCGACACCCCCGCCTCAGAGTCACGGGCAGAAGCGGCCCCCGCCGCAGAAGAGGCATTCGCAGCAGCAGTACTCGCCTGTGCCTCCGCCAGCGCCGACGCCTTTGCAACCACGAGATTCGTTTAAGCCTGCCAGGGTTGAGAAACGGGAGCGAGAGAGGGACTTGCCGAGGGGGGATCGATATATCCCCCGGGACCGCGACAGAGACCGGGATCGAGATCGGGACAAGGACGACGACAGAGATAGAGATAGGGTCAGGGACAGGGAGAGTTCTCGCCGCGAAAGGGATTTGCCGACCAGCCGTGACAGAGATTGGGACAGCGAGAGCCCGCGACGTGAAAGAGAGAGCCCGAGACGTGAGAGAGACGTCCCAAGAAGCCGCGATAGGGACTGGGACAGGGAAGGCCCACGGCGCGAAAGAGACGTTCCGAGGAATCGCGATAGGGATTGGGACAGGGAGAGTCCGCGGCGCGACAAAGACCGCGACAGGGACAGCCCGAGGGATCGCGACAGAGAACGGGACAGTCCGCCGCGGGACTTGAAGAGGCACAGCGTCGCGGCGGATCCCTCGCACTTCCGACGACCAACGGCGCCGCCGGCGAACGAGAGCACCCTCCACCACAACGGCAGCAAACGACAGAGCATCACGGAGCGGCTTATGAGCACGTGGCAGGCGCGCAAGGGAGGTGAGCCGCCGGCGGGAAATTCCCTCACGGCTCCCTCCCGGCGCGCCTCGTCCGCCTCCACGGCCGCGGGCAGGTTCAACCCCATCGCCCGCGTGCGCGAGTGGCTCGACACGTGCAACGCGGAGCACGGCGACCACTGTTCCGGCCCGCCGGGGGAGACGTGGCGGCCGCTGTGGCTGATCGACTCCGTCAACCGGTGCCTTGTGAGGGCGCGGGCGACGGACCGGTATATCGCGCTGAGCTACGTGTACGAGCCGCCACTGCCGAGCACGAGGGGCCCCGTGGAGACGTTGAGGGAGAACCTGGACATGCTGACGGCGAGTCTGGACGATGCGGATATACCGCAGACGATTCTGGACGCGATGTGGCTGGCGAGAAAGGTTGGGGTGAAGTATCTGTGGGTGGACCGGTTCTGCATCGTGCAGGACGACGACGTGGAGAGGGAGGAGTACGTGAAGAACATGGCGTACGTGTTCGCGAATGCGTACCTTACGATTGTGGCTGCGGCAGGGGACGCGGAGAGCGGGCTGAATGGGCTGGTGAGGCGGACGCCGGCAAAGGCGCCGCCGGGGAAGACGAAGCATGAGGATTTGATCCTCGGGTCGAGGTGGGCCACCCGGGCGTGGACGGTGCAGGAGGGGATGTACTCGCGGAGGAAGGTGTACGTGTTCGAGGAGACGGTGACGTGGGAGTGCCATTGCGAGGTATGGCAGGGGGCGCCAGGGGCTGGAGGCCGGTTCAGCAAGATACTAAAAGGGGGCAACAAGAACGCGCCGTGCTTGGCCCGGACGTTCCCTGCGGCGACGGGGTTCCTACACCCCGTGTGGCCTGACATGGACGAGTACGCGCGGATCGCGATGGACTACAGCTCGAGGCGGGTGACGCTCATGTCCGACACGACGAGGGCGCTCCGGGGCATCACGACGGTCATGTCCAAGTCCTTCGCGGGCGGGTTCGTGTTCGGGATGCCGGTGTGCTTCCTGGACATCGCCATGCTGTGGCAGCCCCGCGCGATGATCAGGAGGAGGATGATGGTGCAGCCCGTCACGGGGATGAACCCGCTTCCGAGCTGGAGCTGGCTCGGGTGGCACTACGACGGGGTTCCCGCGGACATGTCGCTGTGGAGGGCGGCGGCAGATTACGTGCAGGACGCGCCGCCGGTCTCAGGAGGGGGCCGAAAGGAGAAGCGGTTCAAGAGCCCGTACGCGTTCCGGCTGAGGCCGTTGGTCAGCTACGAGCTTACGGACCGGGCGACGTATACGCGGCTGCCGAATGACGGGCTGATGTTCCGCGACCGGCGGCACCGCAGGACGCAGCCGTTGCCTGCGGGATGGTCGAGGAGCGGCGGGGGCGGGTTCCGGTATGCGGGGGATCCGGAGTGTGTTTTCCGGTACCCGGTGCCGGTGGGGGAGATGAACGGGCCGGACGCGGCAGCGGTGCCGTTGGGGGATTACTCCATGAACGCGACGCTACTGTCGTTCAGCACCACGGTGGCCTATCTGGAGGTCGACTTTGCGATGGCGAGGAACGCTGCGCCGGTGGATGGCAAAGGTGCCGCCGCCGCCGCCGCCGCTGGGGCTGCTGTCAATGGTGCTTCCGCGGTAGGAATCGCCGGGCCCGGCAGGGGATATGGCGTGCCGCTTGCGATCGGGAACATCTGGTCGCGGACGGGCAAGTGGTGCGGGAACGTGACGGCGCACGACAGCTGGCTCGGCCTGCAGGGGGCGAACCACACCGGGGAGGAGAAGTTAGAGTTCATCGCCGTGTCGACGGCGAGCGAGAGGGGCGGGAGCCACGTGTTTGATATCCAGGCGTTCCGGGACAACATGGACGAGGACGAGATTGTGGACTTTGTTAATGTGCTGTGGGTTGAGAGGGTGGGAGGGGTGTGCTACCGGAGGGGACTGGGGCATGTCGTGCAGCGGGTTTGGGATGCGGTTGCGAGGGATCGGGTTGAGATATTGCTTGGGTAGAGTGTGCCTTTGGCCGTGGGTTGAAAATGAGGTGGGAGTTTGTTCTGATCGTTGTAGTGACCATGATCTTGGATGGGTGGTCATCTGAGGTGATTTATAATTAGCGGGTGGTTGACTTGACGATAGGTTGGCAACGTAGTTGAGGGCACATCTAGGTGATGCCTTTTTTGTGGCTCACGATGCTTGGCGGTCTGAGCACGGAAACAAGCTCTACTCTTCGGATTTCACAATCACCCAATTATGATGAATCTGTTATGCCAGACTCTCAGTTCCGCCATCATACTGTCCTGCGCAGTCATTAAGCCACACATGGCCAATGCTTATTAACGCTTAGCTGCTTTCTATTGAACTGAACGACGGTTGCAGATCACCTCAAAGTCTCGCGGAGCTTACTCCAGAAGCCCCAATCATGTATCCCCGCTTGATCCAGGAACGGCGCAGATCCACGTGGTTCATCCCACGTCAATTGTCCGAACCTGGAGCTAAATCTGAAGTTGGGGGGTCACATGGTAGGATTCGAGATTATCCATTGGATCTGCCCATGAATCCCATGTTCAGGGGATGGGTATTTTAGTGTTCTTCAATGTTTTGCATTCATGTGCTAGTCGAGCTTGACCGCCTAGATACTTTGCTCCTCCTCCCCTCACCGACGGACTTGTCAATCATGTTTGTGCGTGGTATGAGGATTGACTCGTTAGTCCCGTCACGATTGACGGAATGCACAGCCAATTTTTCTGAGCAATACGGAGGATTGCATTACATTGAAGCTCAGGTTGGCTTGTTCTTTAGGAAGAAAGCTGCATTACTGTGGTTTTGCTGCTCTGCTGCGCTTGGGTTCCTCGCTGGATGGCCGCATCTTCCAATGACGTCAAACCAGCCCCCATGCCAACACTCACGCCGACGGATCAGGCGACGATAAGAGGGCAACACACCTCACTCTCGCATGCTTTCTTAACTCAAATGCCAACTCAGCAATTCTGTATTCGTTGTGACCTTGATAGATTCATTTAGCTGCGCAATCCAGTAATGCTGGAATGCCACGCGCTCAGTATCTCGTCAGAGGTTAGGCCATCAGCAGCGCGAGCGCTTCATTCAATCGTTCAGCGGTGCACTTTAATTGACCACGACAAAAAGGGATGGCTATGGCTTGACCCGACCAAAGTTTGCGACTTGTGTGTGTCGGTACTCACCACTAATTGTCGGTGGGCAGCAGAAAGGAGTGCCCATGGGATGGGTCAAAAATTGCTACATCTCTTATTCATTTCGGCCCAGGTTAACGCCTAACTCATCTGTGTGATTGAGACACACTATCCACGACCAATTGCCAAACTACATCACCGTGCAAAAGAGATTGGTATTCGCACGAATACGCAAAAAACTGATCGTGGCAGGGCTCGAACCTGCGACCTCTCGCGGACATCAATGTGAGGCGAGAATCTTAACCAACTAGAACACACGACCTTGTTGAACTTCTCGTCCAATTCTGAGCCTGAGTTCCCTCGCGGAGCGCGCATGCTTGATCACAGCAAGGTTTCGTTGACTTGGGCCTCATTGAGCTGAGCAGAACCGGAACATGCCTCAGCACAACTACATACAATTTTGCATGAGCTGAGAAACTCGATGGCATTCATCAATTGAGAAAGAGAGAGAGACAGCTTCCCTTTTCATCTGGTTTTTGCTCTTAGTTTTAGTTGCGAGGTTGATCGCTGGATGTTGCTCCATAACAAGCGTCCAACTTCTACTCAACAGGGCACATCACATATCCGTCTTCAAAACATATAAATCATCCTAGTCTCAATCATAGGTGAGCATTGAGACTCGGTAGTTCTTGATAGAAGCTTGCTTTGACTGAAATGAAAGCATTGAAAGCAGCTCAAACATCACGACAGCTTTGAACGCCGATCCAAAAAGTTAGGCCGGTACCGGGGCGAACCCCACCACCCACGCAAAACCTGAACAGGAGGGGTTGAGTTCAGTGTGACAACAGCGGATCCGTGGTGACGCATCTCGAAGAGGAACCTCCTTCAACACCATTCAGCCACGGCTAAAAAAGCACGCAAATACACGCAGATATGACTCGATTCAGGCCGTGTATAGACCTGCACGCGGGGCAGGTCAAGCAGATCGTCGGCGGCACGCTGGACAGCACGACGGCGGAGCTCAAGACCAACTTCGTGTCGACGCACCCGCCGGCCTACTTTGCGAAGCTCTACCGGGACAATGACCTCACGGGCGCGCATGTGATTATGCTGGGGCCGGGGAACACCGAGGCCGCGAGGGAGTCGCTCAAGGCGTGGCCGGGCGGGCTGCAGGTCGGCGGAGGCATCAACGACGGGAACGCGAAGGAGTGGGTTGAGGCGGGCGCGGAGAAGGTCATCATCACGTCGTACCTGTTCCCCGAGGGCCGGTTCAGCCAGGAAAGGCTGGACGCGGTGCTGGAGGCTCTCGGGGGCGACAGGGGCAAGCTCGTGATCGACCTGAGCTGCCGGCGGCGCGGGGACGATAGATGGTTTGTGGCTATGAACAAGTGGCAGACCATCACGGACATGGAGGTCAACGCAGGTTGGTTTTGACGTTTGAATCAATCACTTGCTGAAGAAGTGGCTGACTGAGGTGAACACATTTTTCCAGAATCTATCAAGCAGTTGGAGCCGTACTGCTCCGAGTTTCTCATCCACGCCGCGGACAACGAGGGTCTGCAGAAGGGCATTGACGAGAAGCTCGTGGAGAGGCTGGCGGAGTGGTGCAGCCTGCCGGTCACGTACGCAGGCGGCGGCAGGAACCTCGAGGACCTGGAGATGGTGAAGAAGCTGAGCAAGGGCAAGGTGGACCTGACGATTGGCAGCGCGCTGGACTGTTTCGGTGGCAACGGGGTCAAGCTGGAGGAGTGTGTGGAGTGGAACAAGGGCCAGCAATGAGGCAGTAGGGTAGCAGTCATATCAAAAAAAGTTTTTGGGACATTGAAAAGACACCTCTCTCTGTCTTTCTCGCAGAGTTGTTGAGATGACAGGCGTCACATTCGGGTGGGTGACCGTGCGGCTGGGACGAGGGCGGCGGCGTTGAGTCGTTTCAGCCAGTGCGACGCTAGAAAACCGGAAGAGAAGGCGGAAGAGGAGGAAGAGAAAAAAAAAAACGAGTTAGTTTAGTTTCCAGTTGTGAAGTAAAACACACGATACTCCTCTTTGTTTGGTGCCCGTGGCGATACGATGAGGCTAAGGGGACTAAGAGGGCCCCGTTCTGCGAGATTTACGTACATGTGTACGTACATGGAGATGCACGATCGATGATGTGCTTCCGGCTGGGCATTTATTCTCCTTCGTGTCCGATCTTCCCCTCTCTCGCCGGGGCTGAGGAGGATGACAGAAGGAAGAGGAGGGGGAGGCAGTGGAAGGGAGGGGCAATCCGATGGGATGGGGGCAGATGGTGCACCTGGCTCGTGGAGAGGTAGACAGTGAGGATGGAGAATGGAGACAGAGACTGGAGACTGGAGGCGTCTGGACATGGGATCTTGACAGGAGGAACCACAAGGGGAGGGAGGGGGAGTCAGTCAGTTGCGGCGCGGCGCACACCGGGCCTTAGGAAAAGAGCGATGGCTTTTGCGCCGGCGGGGGCGGGGACGCAGATGGTGCAGCTTCTAGGAACAAAGTCCGGGCGATCAATTGCGCGGCTATCTTACCTTACCTTGGGTTAGCTACATGTGAAAGAGGCCGGATCATGACTTGACAGACGCAACGGTTTATAACGAAGCTAGAGAGGAAAACCTTTCAGAAGAGAGAAGAAACACGCCAGCAAAACGGACGGCTGCAGCTAAGGCATACACGAGTTGCGCAAGTGAGGGACCACGGCAAGATAAGACAGCGGGAAGACGAAATCCGCTTTTCGGAGGGCATGGTGATACTCTACCAACACGCAATGCACCTCTGCAGTACCCCTAGCAACTCCATAAATGACCTGCCCAGTACGAATAGTCTTCTACGGATACATATCCCAAGCCTCGAGGCTAAAGACTAATAAACAGCCCACCAAAGACTGAGAGGGGGCCCCGTCAGACTCGACACAGATGCGATGCGCAGATAGAAAGAAAGCACGACATCGTGTGCCTTGCGCCGGACAGAAGCGAGCTCTATGGAGCTGGACCAGGGACGGGAAACAAGGTGCTGGGCCACGGTGATCACTGACTTGGACTTGGTTGAATGGCATTGTCTGATGGGATGGCGAGATCCTTGCTCTCAGCTGCCGTGTTGGCCCGGCGAATTGTGCATGTACGGCGGCTCGACAACAACAGAGGAAGCAGGTTGTTGTTTACTTTGACTCCTCGTCTGCAGCTTTTTGCCTTGCCTTGCCTTTGCCCATGCCTGGCCTTGCATACTAAGTACAATGCCCTTCCTTGCTTAGTGTCCCTGGACAGGCAGGCATCCGACCACTACACGGCTAGAGGCTTTGCTTTGCTCTCCATGTTGCTTGCTTGCTTGCTTCTTCTCCCTGCAGTGTGTTCCTTGGGTTGGCCATCGAGGCCCATTACTCGCTCGCTAAGGTCACAGAAAGAGTGGGAACGTGCGGCAGAAACAGTGGTGATGGAGTGGTGCTCCAGGCGGGTAGCTGGTGGATAGCGGCGGCCTTTGGGGCACCTGCCAACTGAAGCTGCCCCCCCCCCCCCCCCCCCATCCACTGACTGCCGTGTGTGCCCCTCGTCTACGATAGGTACCTCGTAGAAGTAAATACGCCGTCGCCAGGAGCAACGCCCGCCCGACAAAGAGCTGCCTTCCTTGTTTGTTTACTTCTCCCGCACCCGCGCACCAATCACCGCTTCCCCGCCTCAACCTCGATTGCAACCGCCGCCTGCCCTTAAACAACAAGACAAACCACACCGACCAACAACACGGCCTGCTTCTTCTCTTGTTGCCTTCTCACCACCTTCCCCCCCGTCGTCAGGAACGCTACTCTTATTGTTGCTGCACTTTTGGCGGCACCGCCTTTTGGTCTTTTTTTTGTGTGCGTTGCCTGTTGTTTTGCGACCTTCTACCCGCATCCCGCCATCCATCCGAACCTTCTCCTGCTCCATTCCAGTCATCCCTCGTCAATCAATTACACCCACCAGAGCATCGGAATTTTACCACGGCAAGGAAGAAAAAAAAGGGCAGAGCGAAAGAAGTGTCCCCACGAGACGCAATACGTCAAACATTCATTCTAGTACAACCTTTACGCATCGCGTTTTCCCCTTTGTGTCTTGCGAGCCGCTCCGAATTCTACGACAATCCCCGAGAGCAGGATCCGCCGCAGCAAAGCCTGCCCGACCCTGAATTTCTTTTCGAGCATTCATCGCCAAAACTCATCTACTACTACGACTGTTTTCCGCCAGATGCGCCTTCGCGGCCACAGAAACATCACCTAAAATGGCATCTCAAGAGGACCCAGTAAGTCCCTCTGCCCGCGGCCCAGTGCTCATTGCATCCTCGCGACTAACACCGTCACCTCAGGTACACCCTTTGCGCATCTCCAAGGGCTCCACGGGCTCAACGGGATCACCGCCTCCCAAGGCAGCGAACCTCCCTCGCGCACTTTCAGAGTTGTCCCCTTCGGACCTTAGACGAAACTCTCCCAGCTTCAAGCAGCCATCCAAGGTAAGCGGATCGTGTCTTAGACAGCCCCCCGGCCCAGAATTTCCTCTAACAAACGCCGCGCAGAAGATGACTCTGAACACCGACTCCTCTCCATTCCAGTCGTCTCCAATGGAGACCACCACGTCACCTAGGCTGTTTTGGCAGAAGCGCAACCTCGACTCCATCAGCACCGAGACCCAGAACCTATACGGCGGTCGCCACGGCTCGCCCTCACCAACCCGTCGCACATCCATTGAACGCCTGCAAAAGGCTTCGCGCGTCAAGAATAGCAACATCCTCGCTCTCGAGCAGAAGCAGGAATACGACCCTACGAGAGTGCCTCAGATCGAACGCCCTCTTGCCAACTACTCGGCATCCGCATATGGAGGATCAGCCGCCCCTACCGCCATCATCAACGGGCTTCGGTCCTCGGACTCTCTGAGCAGGGGTTTCGGCCACCAGCGCAACAACAGCAGCAAGTCGAACATCCCCATTTACAGCCCGGCAACGAGCCCGACCAAGGCTTCTGGCGACGCCACTCCGATGCAAGCCACCTTCTCCAGCCCTCCCAAGAGCCCTGGCAAGGAGCCCGGATCACCCATGAAGTCGTCGCTCTCTCGCAGCAACTTCAAGAGCAGCTTCGACCCTGAGACCGGCACATGGTCTGCCGATACCTCCTTTGACGACCGCGAGCTGCCCTCCGGCAAATCCCTCCACAGGCATGCCAAGAGCGTCACCTTCGACGCGGCGCCCCCCCAGATCAACGAGTATGAGATGGCCACACCCGACATTTCATCCATCGGATCCAACTCCCGCGAGGGCAGCTTCGATTCTATGGATGACGAGGATGATGATGAGGAGCACTACCATCTCGGCGACCACGACATCGGAGAGGACAGCTTCGACGCTTCCTTGGAGGACACAGATAAGACACCTGTCGTCGGTCCCGATGACTGGAGGCAGTCTGCCGAGCGCATGGAGGACCCCTTCGAGAGCAGCCCCATGCCCGAGTCACTGCCCGCCCGCCCCGGTAGGCCAGAGCATGTTCGCTCCGACTCCTCCACCTCAGACCACCGCCCCTTGCCGCCTCTCCCCGGCATGGGTGGCTCATTCACCCGCAGCGAGTCTCGCCTCAGCGACTCTCGTGGGTCACCCGGCATCTCAGCTACTGCTGAGAGGATGCTTGGTACCCACCGCAGCTTGCCCTCACCGCCGCCCGCGGCCGCTGCTGCAAGCAAGTCGGAGATCCAAAGTATCGGCAACGGCAAGATGACGCTGGAGGAGAGACTGAAGCTTATGATGCTTTCGGACGACCACAAGTCGGCCAGCGAGCAGCAGAGAGAGCGTCGTCTCCGTCGTGGCGCTCAACGCGATAGATTCCAGAGCCCTTCGTCCGAGACGGAGACTGCTGAGTCGAGCATGCTCGAGGCCGATGAGGAGGACGACACCATCGGTGACATCTCGGCGCTTGAGGACTATGAGCTGCCAACTCGCATCTCTCGCGAATCCATCCTCCGCCGCGTTAACACTGGCGAAACCGCACAAGAGGCCGAGTACTTCTCCTCTCCGGCGCCTAGCTCCAGCCCGGAGCGCCCAAGCCCTGAGCGTCGCCTCCCCCTTCCCCTCGACCCCGACGTTCCTATTCCTTCCACCGAAGACTCCATCTTGGACGATGAGGTCTCCGACTTGTCGGATGAGGAAGGCAGTGTCATCATCCACCGCGATGAGGACACTGATGCTGAGACTGAGTCTATCACTGACTTCTACGCCCGATCCGAGGATGAGAACGATGCGGACTCTGCAAGCCACTACTCTGACGGCCCCGCTCGCGTGCCTGAAGTCACTGAAGTGAATGAGGAGATCCTCACTCCTCGTGCTGCTAGCCCCCAGCAGGCTTTCCAGTCTTTCGATATTGCTTCTGAAATAAGGCCTCTTGAGCTCAAGTCCGACAAGACTGGAAACACCCCTACTGAGTCGCCTGTCGAGTCTCCTATGGAGCTGCCCGCCAAGGAGCCCACCCCCGAGCCTGAGGAGGTCATTGAGCCTGAGGCTGAGATGGAACCTGAAATCCAGGAAATTGAGCAAGAGCAGGAGAAGCAGATCGAGTCGCCTGCTTCCGTCCGTTCTGGTCTGCCTGAGATGAAGGATGAAGCCAAGGAGAATGAGTTCTCCAAGGGTCTACAGTCCTTCATGTTGCCGCCTCCTCCCGAGCCCACAGCTCAAGACTTGGAAGAGCTTCAGCCCCCTCCCAAGATGGCTGACGTTCAGGCTCAGCGTCCCTTTACTCCTCCTCAGCTTCAGGGTCTCTACGACGGCTC